TTTTTTTATTTTTTTCTTCATGTTTTGTATAATATTCTGTTTTAGGGTTTGGCTAATGTGATATGAGAAGGGTGAAAGCAATGTGGAAAGCATATGAAACTGTGAAGATGTATATTTCCATATTTTTATTCTATCTATTCTTAGATTTGGGTTGTTTTCTATCTAAGGTTGTATTATGCAACATTGTAAGATTAAGGGAGCATGATGCAATTGTTTTCTTTATCTTTAAACTTACAGAATCAATTATGTCCTTGCATTAACTCTACTATTTGCTGGATTTAACTGTTCAATAATTTTTGACACTTCAATGAAATAATGTTGTTCTTTGATAATTTTATCACTCATAAAGATGATCCAAGCAGTGGCTTATTAATCCCATTGCTTTTTGTTTTTTTCTTTCAGGCAGACTTCTTTATGACATACATCTTGACAAATGGGCTGGCAGGATTTTCCCTGGAGACATATTGATTCATATATCACTCATAAGGGCATCTTGACAAGCATAGATCAGACATATTGAAAATTGTCAAGGATGGTATTGAGTATGCTTTTGTTGATGCTCCAAAGCAGCTATCTTTTTTGGATGGGGCTGTGGTCCATTTTGTTTCCAAACTTCCTACACCTGATATCCTTGAAATGTAAGAGTGAATCTTTTTGACTTTTTCTTCTATAAGTTCTCTAACATATACATTTGGAAGGCAAATGTTAATGCTCCATCATTGTTGCAATAGTTTGAAGGATGTCCAAAAACGAACAGAGAACGTGAATACAGAGGTAGATCCTAGTGGATGGCGCCCCTATCACACGTTTGTAGACAGTTTAAAAGAAAAGTATGCGAAAAATGAAGGTTTCCAAGGTATAATTGGTCTTCCAATTGTTTCTTTAAAAAATCATGAAAGCTATTCTTTCTTCTTCGTAGTCACTTTGGTGTTGCCAGGCTTCTCCCTGGCAGGGCACCCCTTTTATCATTTAGTTTCAATTGCATTTAAATAGAGACCATTTCTGCTCGTTCTCTCTCAGTTCTAACTCTTGTGCTTCCTAATGTTACATTCTTTTCCTCACTAAAGAAAAAAATAAGAAAATAGAAAAAAATAGAAAAAAAAAAAAAAAAAGAGGGAAAAAAAATTCCCCCAAAAAAAAAAAAAAAAAAAAGTTTAAAACATCAAACTAACACAAATTCTGTTATTAGTGTGCCTGTGCTTGTACCCATAATTTCCACATACTAAACGCCAATATCTACAACAAATCATCTGGCCTATTTCACGATAATTATAGATCAAAAACTTCCTCCATAAAACCTACTTTTAACAAAATCATTCCAATTTAGATTATGACAAGTAAAAATATTTATATGCGTTTGCCTAGGATTTGAAACAAGCCAAGTAGTAGGTTGTTTAAGTTTAGTTTGAAAACTTAACGAGTCTCACAAATATATTCAGGCCTAGCTTGTTTACATAACAAATTGATTTCGAACGAGTTTTTAACAAGTCAAACTTAAGTGACTTAATTTTTATAGTGGATATAAGGCCTGTTTGGTAAAGTTTATAAGCTGTTTATTTTAACTTTTAACTTAATTTAAGCTAAAATATTGTATTTGATGCAATTTAAGTTAACCAACTTATAGCTATTTCTCAGCTTATTTCAAAAGCTGGTCAGAGAGTGCTTAAATTTTTGACTTAAGCGCGCAGCTGGTGTGGGGGGCTAAAATTACTTAAATGCCCTCGCAAATATCCAAATATTAATATTAATTAAAAAATAAAAAAATTGTATATTTCTAAAGAAAAAGAAAAAAATCAATATTAATTAAAAAAATCAATATTAATTGGTATTAATTATTAAAAAATTAATATTGTATACTTTTGTAATGAATTAATTATTAATTGATACTAATTAATAACAATTGTGAATTATTAATATTAATTGATACTAATAAAAATTAAATATTAATATTAATTTATACTAATTAATAATTTTAATATTAATTGAGACTAATTAAGTCATTAATTGATACTAATTAAGCAATTAATTGATACTAATTAATTTATAATGAAAAATAATTGTGATAATAATACTTCCATTACATTTTTAGCAAATGTATTAATTGTTATATTAATTGATACTAATTAATACTAATTATATTAACTTTTATTAATGAAATATTTTTTTAAAAATTCAAACTGAAAAAAATAACAAAATAATCATTTTTATATCATATTAGGACATAAAGGACAATTATACAGCTTATTTAACCAAACACTACTTTACTATTTAAATCTATAATTCCACAGCTGCACCAAATAGGTTAACAATTTATGTTCACAGCTATAAGTCAAAATCTATTAAGTTATAATCTATAATCATTTTTCCATAGCTCTACCAAACGGGGCCATAAGCTTATCGAGATTAGTAATAAATTTTCAAGTTTAATTTGTTTACATAATGAACACCAATTGTAAATGAGTTTTTAACAAGTTGAACTCTAGTAACTTGGTATGTTAAACAGCTCTATTTCTTTACATCCTCTGCCTTACTTTAGTGATCACAAATTACTAATCGTTAAAGCTGTATTTGGATTTGTGGAGGGAACGGAAAATTGAATGAATCTCCCATTGTGCCGGCAAGATCCTCCACTTTCTAAGCCCCAAAGAGTTGGTGAGAAATAAAGATTGTGTTTGATAGAGTTTTACAAATATGATTTGAGAGTATGAGTTGTATTTTGAATTTATGAGTTGTAAAATTATAATTTGAGTGTAAAAAATTTGTTTGATTATGATTTTTGAATAGAGTTTTGAATTGAGTATGGAATTGAGTTTTGAAAGTTTAATTTGACATGTGAAGTAAGAAAATTTGTTTGATTATGAGTTTTGAAAAGAATTTTCAAAACTTAATTCAAATTATTATAACTCATAACAAAACACACTACTTTCACACTATTGAAAATTCTGATAAACATTCATAACCAAACTCTTTTTAAAATTCAATTACAAAAATTTATTATTAACAGAAAATAACATTAATCAATTTTTTAATTGAAAATACTACAAAGGAAAAAAAATTTTTTCAAAATAAATATTCAAAAAATTTAAATGATAAATATTCAAATTATTTAAATTATCTAAAAAATTTAATAAGTACAAAATTAAAATAAATATTCAAAAAATTTAAATCGTAAAAATTTAAATAATTTAAATATTCAAAAATTTAAAAATATTTAAAATGTTAATATTTTAAATTTAAAAATAACTCTACACTCAAATTGTAACCAAACACATAACTCGAAACTCCATATTAATTTTACAACTCTACACTCAAATCGTAAATAAATACATAACAAAAAAAATTAAAATATTTAAAAATATTTTTATAAAATAAAGTTTGAATTTATTTTTATAAAATATTTTAAAATTTAAAAAATTAAAATCGTAATATTTTGAAATTAAAATATTTAAAAATATTCAAAAAAATTAAAAAAATTAAAAAAGGCATAACATATTTAAATATTAAAATATTTAGAATCTTAACAAAATTAAAAGATTTTAAAAATATTTAAATATTTAAAATATTTAAAAAATTAAAATATTAATTTGAATTGAGTTTTAAAAAGTGTTTTGAATTATGTATTTGGTTATGAGTTTTGAAAAGTAATAATTATGTTTTAAATTGAGTTTTAAAAAATAAATGTAAAATTATGAAATGAAAATTCTAAACAAATAACACACTCAAATCAATGGATAAAATTATATTTTGAAAAGTTTTTCAAACGGAGCCTCAGTTTTTAAAATTTATTTTAAGTAAAAAAGCCATGATGGCGAAGGACTCCAACCCCATGGCAACATGTTGACGTGACATTCTTAACTAATAAAATTGTGCAAAATAGAATTTATAAGTCCGACTCTGTCTTTCTGTAATTGACTTGAATAAATTACGTCAAGTTTGACATCTTTTAAAAAAAATTAAAAAATTATTATTTTATTTAAATTATATTACTTCTCTATCATATTTTTTGAAATTTAACTCATATTTTATAAAAAATAAAAATAAAAAATACATTTATTTAAAACATCTAAACAACTCTTTAATGTAATAAATTAATGTGCTAATTCCGTATCAAAAATGCTAGAGGCCCCAAAAATTTTATCAAAAATTTTACCAAACGTCTCACATGGGTGTGAGACCCACATGGGACTCACATTGTGTGGGTCCCACACCCATGTGAAACATTTGGTAAAATTTTTAGGACCTCTACCATTACTCTATTTGTATTTCAAAACTACTTCTCAAAATACATATATATATATATATATATATTACATTACAATTTTAATCAAGTAATTTCATTGGATTGGAGTACATAGAACCATCAGTCAATGGTCCAATAGTCTTATGATTATCTATCTTTTTAAGATTATATATATGTTTTATCTCACATTTAAAATGTTTTTGGAATAAAACGAAAGCTAAGGTACCGTTTGGTAACACTTACGTTTTCAATTTTCTGTTTATATTTACAAAAATTTTAAAAACTCAAATAAAAACTTATTTAGTAAAATTTTTGATTTATAAATCAGTGGTCTCAGTTTATAAATTTGGCCAAAAAATAAAAACACAAAAAATGTGTTTCCATTTTGAGTTTTTA